GGGCTCGATCCCAGGACCCTGGGATCATGACCTGAGCTAAAGGCAGACGCTTAACAGTTGAGCCACCCAGGCGCCCCAAGTAAATAAAATCTTTAAAAAAAATGTATACAATGCTTACATAGTGGTAATCATGGTATGCATTTTTTACTCAAAATTTTACAGTACATACTTCCTGTATTCTAATCACAATTATTTTAAAGGATTTTTTTTTTTTTTTTTTATTCATTCGAGAGAGAGAATACGGGGAGGGGGAGAAGCAGGCCCCCCCGCTGAGCAGGGAGCCGGATGTGGGGCTCTATCCCAGGATCCTGGGATCATGACCTGAGCCAAAGGCAGACACTTAACCATCTGAGCCACCCAGGCGCCCCGATAATCACAATTATTTTAGTAGTTAAGTAAAATTCATTTAAATTGTTTCCTAATATATTTAACCATTTCTTTCTTGTATAAGTTATTTACAGATTATTAAGTGAATAGATAATTTTGAATGACCATATTCATGAAATTTCCTCCCATCTCCTTGGATAAATTCACAGGGTTGGGAATACTGAGTTCGGTTGTGTTCCTATGAATTTCTACCCTGTGTTATGGATTATTTCCTTAGTACGGAATAATAGAAGTAAAATTCCTGCATCAGACAGTATGCATTTTTATTTTATTTTATTTATTTATTTATTTATTTTTTTAAAAGATTTTATTTATTTATTCATGATAGACAGAGAGAGAGAGAGAGAAACAGAGGGAGAAGCAGGCTCCCAAGGAGCAGGGAGCCTGATGCGGGACTCAATCCCAGGACCCTGGGATCATGACCTGAGCTGAAGGCAGACGCTTAACCATCTGAGCCACCCAGGCGCCCAGACAGTATGCATTTTTAAAAATTCTTTTCCATTTATAAAAGTAATATTTATTAAATTTAGGAAGTATAAAAAAGTTCAGGAAAGGGGTGCCTGGGTGGCTCAGTCAGTTGGGGTCATGATCTCAGGGTCCTGGAATCGAACCCCGCATCAGGCTCTCTGTTCATCGCGGAGTCTGCTTCTCCCTCTCACGGTCCCTCTGTGCTCTCTCTTCCTCTCTCTCTCTCTCAAATAAATAAATCTTAAAAAAAAAAATGCAGAAGGGGCGCCTGGGTGGCTCAGTCGGTTAAGCGTCTGCCATCGGCTCAGGTCATGATCCCAGGGTCCTGGGATCGAGCCCCGCATCAGGCTCCCTGCTCCGCAGGAAGCTTGCTTCTCCCTCCCCCACTCCCCCTGCTTGTGTTCCCTCTCTCGCTGTGCCTCTCTCTGTCAAATAAATAAATAAAATCTTTAAAAAAAAAAAAAATGCAGAAAAGAAAATAGAAATCTGTAATCCTTCCACCTAGAGACCCCTAATGCTGAGATTTTGGTGAATATTTTCTTGATTTTTTGCACATATTTTTAAACTTTATTAAATTGAAATCATATAGTGTATTTAGTCTTAGAGCCTGCTTTTTCACTTAAGTAGAACTCTGTCCTCTGTGTCCTTGCATAACACTCTATAATTTTAATGGCTTTATAATGTTAATTGATTAGATGTGCCCAAATTTATTTAATGCCTTACTAAATAGATTCCCCTTTTTTAGTCATTAGAAATAATGCTATGATGAACCTTTGTTTGTTTTTTAAAGATTTTATTTATTTGAGAGAGTGAGCAAGAGAGAGAGAGAGAATGAGCAGGGGGAGGAGCAGAGGGAGAAGCAGATTCCCCGCTGAGCAGGGAGCCCAACGTGGGGCTCGATCGCAGAACTCTGGGATCATGACCTGAGCCAAAGGCAGATGCTTAACTGACTGAGCCACCCAGGCACCCCGAATCTTTGTTTTTGTATAGGATGAATGTATGATAGGAGATGAGATTTATTTGAATTTAAGAAAACCTACCACTATTTATCAACTACTGAGACAGAAAGCTTAAATGAAATGTGCAGTTAAAGAAATTATAGAATTATAAAAATGAAGACAAAGCTACATAGATCAAAAAAGAAACATCAATAGATTTGATAGTTTTAATGTCCTTAGTATTTTTTTCTTTAAAGATTTTATTTATTTATTTGACAGAGAGAGACACAGTGAGAGAGGGAACACAAGCAGGGGGAGTGGGAGAGGGAGAAGCAGGCTTCCTGCTGAGCAGGGAGCCCGATGTGGGGCTCGATCCCAGGACCCTGGGATCGTGACCTGAGCCGAAGGCAGACGCTTGACGACTGAGCCGCCCAGGCGCCCCTAATGTCCTTAGTATTAAAAAATGTCTGTAAACCATTAAGAGAAACATTCCTATAACACAGTAGAAAGTAGATAAAGGACATGAATAGGAAGACAATTCACAAATGAATAGGTATAATAATTAGAAGAGAAAATCTTCAAACTCACCAGTATTAAATAAATGCAAATTGAAAGAGTAAAATATTAGATTTGTTTTAAGTTAATTTATTTCTTTGTAATAGACTCACAAGGCAATGTCAATTGGAAGACAAGGTCGGGTACAAGTTGAAGATATCGTCTTCTTGATTCGAAAGGACCCAAGGAAGTTTGCTAGGGTTAAAGACTTGCTTACTATGAATGAAGAATTGAAACGAGCTAGAAAAGCATTTGATGAAGCAAACTATGGATCTTGACACCTTCTGTACTTTCTGAAGCTTCATTATCTTCTGGGGAAACCATATATCATAACTTTATTTTCCACATTGGGGTCCTAATATCTAGCCATGTATATGCAAGATGGAGAAACAAAAAGTCTTCAGCTTTTATTTTCATGTCTTCGATTTTAGAATGATATTTGAGCCTTGAATTGCCTGCCCTTATAGGACTATACTTGAATTACTTACTGGGTTTTAATGACCACATGTAAGTTGAAGTACCTTGCAAACTATGTGGTTCCTTCTGACTTTTGACTAAGTGATGAAGTAGTATTTATGTATTGGGTGTATTTGTGCCCTTGTAGGCTATACCGTAGCTGTTTAATATATGAAATCTATAGGGCACCTCCGACTATGATTGCTAAGACGTGTTTCATGTATTCTAAAGTTTTTAGACTACAGTAGTAGTCTAAGAGATTATTAAAAGATAGTGAACTGGTTTGTTTTTTTTTTTAAGGAGAAGATGATACAAGAAAATAGTCTTTTGTAGGAATGTTTATCTAAGATACTTGTTTTTTTTAATATTCTTTAGATTACAAGAATGATTATTTTTTAAACTAAAAGTTTCATGTGAATTCTTCCGTATTGGAAGGCTTTTGATTTAAAACCTTTTGTGCTTATAATGTACTAGTTGTCAAGTTTTAAGAGAACTAATTTTCCCAGGTCAGATTAAAGCTTCTAGAAATAAATGCTTTCAGTAGTAGGAATGGTATTGCTTAAAAAGCTGATGGCAGGATAAGCATTTGGGATAGTGTTTTATTAATGTATTTGTTAGTACTTGTTCATTGTGGAAATGTGTACTTGACTAAAACCATATATGGCTATGGAAACCACTTTTGTAGTTCAGGATATACAAGTTTTGTGTGTGTTTAGCTTATTGTATTAAATTATTGCACTTAGTTTAAAATAAGGATTAAAACTGCATTTAAAGGGATCACTGAATATTACTCTGTGAAACAGTGTTTTCTGTATTGCTTATAAACATTATCTATAAATCAGCATGTAGGAGAATTTCACTTTCTTAATCTGTTGATACAAGGAATAAAGTAAAAAATTAGATTAATAATTGAATTTGACTTTTTCTTCCCATTACTAGTAATATAATTCTGGCTGCTTAAGCTCACTGAAAACTTTTTTTCTATATTCTTGCAATCCTCCTGAATTGATAATGAGATTCAAGATAGCTGGACTGATCTTTTTGTTACTTAAAAAAGTAAAAACCGGGGCACCTGGCTGGCTCAGTTGGTAGAGCATGTGACTCTCGATCTCAGGGTCATGAGTTCAAGCCCTGTGTTGGACATGGAGCCTACTTTAAAAAAAAAAGGAAAAACCAATTGAAAAACTACTCCAGTCTAAGCTGAAGTCAAGAATGCGAGTGGAATAATATCTTGATATATTGATATTTTTGCTAATCAGCGTGTACTTCACCTTGAAGAAAGAACTGGTAATACTTGGTACTAGGGGAGCTATCCTGGTACCCATCTTAGCTAGGGCTGCTGTAACAAAATATCAGACTGGGCAGCTGAAACAACAGAAATTTACTTTCTCATGGTTCTGGAGGCTGGAAGTCAGATCAGGGTGACAACATGGTTGGGGTCTGATGAGGGCTCTTCCTGGGCTGTAGATCGCTGCCTTCTCCCTGTGTACTTGTCTGAGGGAGCTCTGTCCTTTCTTTCTCTTTTTATAAGGGCACCAGGGTTCCATCCTTATGACTTCATTTAATCTTAATAGCCTCCTTAAAAGCCCTGTCTCCAATATAGTCAGATGAGAGGGAGGGTTGGGTTAGGGCTGCAACATAACTAATTTCAGGGGGTTACAATTCAGTCTATAGCAGTGCCATTAATCTTACTATTTTGCTAGTGATCCTGGCACGCAAAAAGTTTTTTATCGGACCTTGTATTGTAGGTTGCAAGTGATAGAACTTGCCTCAAAAATAGCATAAGCAGAAGAGGAATTTATTGGTTTATCCAACTGAAACAAGGGAAAGTAGGAATGGAGTTGATTCCTTAGGGTTGACTGGATGTAAGAACTTGAGAATCAAGACTGTCCATCTTTATCCTAATTTTGGTTTTATTCTCTTAGGAACCTCAGTGTGTCAAGGGAACATGATAGCAGTTCTAGGGTTTCCATCCATACAACTGATCCAGGGAGCTACTTCACTTACCAATACAGAAGATCCCCAGGAGTGAGGGTAGGACGTAAGAGCTGGGTACTAGTAGCGAGAAAGGGAAAGAGAGGCTGGGCAGACAAAAAAATAACAGATGGGCACTTACTTGATTCATGAACTTACTTATTTGAATTCTAATAGTAAGGTAACATGGCTCCCTTCTAATGTCTAGAGCTACACTGTGTAATATGGTAGCCTCTAGCCACATGGGACTATTTAAATTTACTTCATTCAAATGAAATGAAACTAAACCTTCAATTCCTCAGTTGTACTAGCTGTATTTTAGGTGCTCGTCAGCCCCATGGCTAGTGGCTGCTGCATTGAACAGTGCAGGTGTAGAACATTTTTTTCATCATCACAGAAAACTATTTCGGACAGTGCTGATCTGTAGTGTTCAGGTGTTCTTCTTAATTCAATTCACTTAAAAAAACTTACTATGAAAATCTCAAGTATACACAGTAAAAGAATAGTATCATGAGCTCCTATCTTCAACAATTAACTAACCTTTGCCAATTTTAATGTCTTACCTATCCCCCCACCTTTTGGGGGGAAGGGGCAGTATTTTAAGGCAAATCCCAGCTTCCATTGTATCTTTTCAACTATAAATATCACTGTGTCGTCTCTAACAAAAAGTTTTGAAAGGTAGCCCAAATACTATTATCATACCCTAACAAAAATTAACATTAATTCCTCAATACCCCATTTAATACCCAATCTCAATTTAAATCTCCTAATTTGTCTCAAAATATCTTTGAGTTTGTATATTTGTTCTCTATTGTTCCTGTAACAGATTACTGTAAATTTAGTGACTTAAAACAACAGTCATTATCTTACCAGTTCTTTAGGTCAGAAGTCTGACATGGGCCTCATTGATGCTAAAATCAAGGTACTACATTCTTTTCTGGATGTTCTAGGAGAGAACCTGTTTACTTGCCTTTTCCAGCATCTAGAGCCTGCATTCTTTGGCTCTTAGTCCCCTTCTGTCTTCCAAGTTAGCAATGCTGCATCTTTCTGATCTTTCTTCCATAGTCCTATCTCTCTCTGACCTCCACTGGGAAAGGTTCTCTGCTTCTAAGGACCCATGTGATTATATTGGACCCATCTGGATAACCCAGAATAACCTCCCCATTTTAAAATCCTTAACTTAATCACATCAGCAAAGTCTCTTACCATGTAAAGTAACATATTCACAGGTTCTGAGGATTAGGATGTCAAGTCTTTGGGAGGGGCTGTTATTCTGCCTCCCACAGGTTGTTTGCAATAAAATCTAAATAAGGTGTCACCCACTGCATTTGGTTACCCATTGCATCGGGTAAGTCTAAATTTCTATTAATCTCTAGTAGCTCTTCGTTACCTACTTGTTTAAGTGAGACTTTCTCTTTAAAAAATTATACCTTTTTTTAGCTAGCATGTTTATTTGATGCTGAACCAGAACATCTGATATAATTTATGACTCACTTTGAAATTGGTTTTACTGTATTTAAACTGATTTTCATAAGTAAAAGTTGAAATATTCTAAGTGTAGAAATTTTTAAATGGGGCAATAGCTCATTTGGCTTCTCATCAGTGGAAGGAGGTGGTGTCTGGAGAGTCAGTTGGCCACTTCCCAAGAGGCCTCAGGGAGTTGCTTTATTGGGTGACTGTGTAGTCCAGAGTTTGACTTGCATCACTGCAGGCTTGGAAACTGATTTCATCAGCAAATGGAGAGCACATCCATCTTTCAGGGTGGACTTAGAAATCAAGCTTGTAAGACCAATATATGAACATAGATGCCAGTTTACAGATGTGGGTAAAACTTGCATGGGTTTGATCAGCAAATTCTTCCCTAGCCTGGGCAGACAATGTGGGAAATGAAAACAAATATGAAGGTGAATCAGAATGAGGGGAGTTAGATGAATGCATTGCCTACAGCATCAGGTAAGAGAAGGATAAAGTCTATACAGAAACAGGAAGAATGGCTCCCCAGACCCAGAGGCTGTGCACGGGGGGGTGGGGGTGGGGGGGGGTGGGAATTGTTTCCTGAGGAGCAACCTTCAAGATTCCATTTTTGCTAACACTGGAGACTTGTCTTGAGTTTTCACTTCCAATGACAATATCCATCCAAGCATGGTCTGTTTGTGGCTTTCAGGTGACTTTGTATATTTCTACTCTAATTCACATGTTGAGCTCAGAGGTAATTCAAAGAGGGCAATTTTACTTCCAGTAAAATTGGGCAGTAAAAACTGCCCAATCTTCAGGGGAGCTTCATAGTTGCTTCCAAGAGCTGATGACACCAAACATTGTGCCTGAAAATCAAGAACGTTTTAAGCACTCTGCCTGTATCCCAGAACATTCCCAATTCTCTAGGCCTGATTTTCTTATATATTACCAGTAGATTGGTAAGAGTTTCAATCCGAACTTTTGTACAGAATCCCAATTCATGTGTAATTTGTAGCATTGAGTCTTCTATGCACATGCTCACTATATTTATACTTACAAAGAAAGCCTGGTAAACTGCTTTGAACTTGGGTGTATTCTTTTAGAATAGGAAGAATAAATGCTGAAATGTAAATCATTTGTCATTTGCCTTTGTGTGGCTATTTTATTAAAGATTTATTTATTTGAGAGAGAGAGAGCACGTGAGGGGGCATGCAGGAATGGCGGGGGAGGGGGGCAGAGGGAGAGAATCCTCAAGCAGATTCCCTGCTGAGCGCTGAGCAGAGAGCCCAATCAGGGGCTCAATCCCACAACCCTGAGGTCACAACCTGAACCGAAATCAAGAGTTGGATGCTCAACCGGCAGAGCCAACCAGGTGTCTCTGTGTGGCAATTTTAGATAAATAACTGAAAATTTAGTAGGAAAGAGCCTATTTAGTTACCGACCAAACTCTAAAAGAAATGCTAATACTATACTTAATTTTTCTGAAATAGGATTTTTATAAGTATTTTGGGGGCACATGACTTACAGTAAGACATTTACCTAGACTCATTTTGGTGAATCTCATGTTTTTCTTTGATCTTTCTAGGAAGTTCTACTAAATAGTTTCAAGATTATTACTAGAAAGTTGTTAACCTTATTCTAAAACACCCATCCAAAATTATGATGCTTAATGTAAGTATTATTAACATTTCTTAACCTATAGTTTCCCCCTTTTTTGAATTTTTAAGTATGTCAATGACTTCATTAAAATGGGGTAAATATTTTCTTTCCAAAACAAAATATTTTTAATTTTTATTTTCGTTTTCAATATAACATCCAGGATATTTACTTAATATAAAAGAGTATATCCTGGGACGCCTGGGTGGCTCAGTCGGTTAAGCACCTGCCTTCGGCTCAGGTCATGATCCCAGTGTCTTGGGATCTAGTCTCGCATCGGGTTCCTTGCTACGCGGGGAGCCTGCTTCTCCCTTTGCCTGCTGCTCGCCTCGCTTGTGCTTACTCTCTGTCTCTCCCTCTCTCTCTGACAAATAAATAAAATCTTAAAAAAAAAAGCACGTCTCTTCTATGTTGAAACAATGTGTTTTTCTTCACTAGGTTTAGCCATTGACCTATAATTTAAGCTTTTGTTTAGGTGTTTGGATAGGAGTGCCGGTAGACCCAGGTATTCTACCTACATAATCCTTGAGCCTGTTTGAAAGAGAAGCTGCAGTGGTGGTATTTTGTTTGTTCTCCCAGAGCCAGCAGTGCCCTGGCTCTAAAGCACACAGCTCTTTGGTGTGTGTGTATTTATGTGTATGTGCTCTAATAAGGAGAGTGGAGCTTTTAAAACAAGTGCTCATATCCCCGCTGAACTTCCCTTGAACAGCTTGAGGCAAGATTTCCTAATTTAGGCTTGTGCTCAGATTCCTTTCCACTATTTGGGGAAAACCAAAAACTTCTAGAAGTGAGATTTGAGAATCTTATTAAAAGGGGTCCAC